TAAACAGTATGTACCTGTGATCCGATAGAGAGGGTGTTAGAGACACTTTCCAGTCCCTGATGTCCTGAGCTAAGTTAAGCGTGCTCAGTGTTACGTCGATAACCTCTTCTCTTACACTATTGCTGAAAGTGGGCATGTTACCGACATTCAGAACCTCAAGGTTCGATGCCCCTAGAAACTCCATCAGGTCTTCGCCCCGTCTGTTGGTGTTCGAGCTGCCCCACGTAACGTGATGGGCATTGCTGTCGCATCCAATCACGATGTCGAGTCCAGAATCCCTACAGAATGCGACAAGGTCCCCCATTTCCTTGGACGGAGGAGGCTCTCTTGAATCGTAAGGAAGGTAAGCCGAACATACAACCAAGTCCCTGTCACTACCTTCCTTCTTATATGTAATTCTGACTGCAACTAAGTCTCTGAATGTAAATTCTTTAAGTTGCCATGAGTTAACGGAAGTCATTACGCAAGCTCTGGGCTTAGTGTCCGGAGTATCTCTATAAAGCGTATAGCCCGGTATACTAAGCCCATTTACTGAACCGTTTCTCAGCCAGGGTTCCTGGATGAGAGCCACGTCATGTCGGCCTCGAGTGATCTCCTGAGTAAGGGCCCTCGAAGCCGCTATGCAGTGTTGTAAGTTAATTTGAATGAAATTAAGACTTACCATGGGTGTTGAGAAGCCCCTCCTACACCTTCTCGAATGACGGTGTGTGTCCCCTATTCGGGCGTACCGCCGTCGCCGCCGCAGTCTTCACTGTCACAGCCGCCTTCATCTCCGCTTCCACGGTGGTCTCGGACTCGGTTCAGAATTCCGTCCTCGTCCGAGCCGCTATCATTGCCCTCTGGGGCCAGATCCATCGCAGGGTCCGCCGCGATGTTTTCTACGGATATCCCGCTTGGACCCGCCGCCTCCACGTCCGTAACCTCCGGTCGTTCCAGCGAGAGCTGACCCGGCCGACCCATTCCCTGTGAAGGAGCCTGGTCTACCGCCACAGCTCCCGTCGGTCTGGGCTGGTTCGACTCCTGGTTTGGAGCCAGGCCAGTTCCAGCAGGTGTCGCCCCACTGCTTTTCTTCTTGCTCAGGAGTGTAAACACCCCCGAACTTCCACCGCAACACAGATTGTTGCCGTTACCTGCAATGATCTTCCAGCTTATGGAATCAACTGAGAGGACAAGTCGGACACCTTTGTGTTCTTCCTTCCTCTCAAGTAGCCTCCACGCGCTGGGAAAAGTCCCAGGACTGTGCCTCCTGAGTCTCCTCATGATGACCTCGTTTCCCAGGTTGGGACCCGGGAACCAGGCCATCACGCGGTGGTATATGGGAAGGTCTCCAAAGCTCATCGTAATGAGCCTTGCGCCTTCCCACGGCCGCAGATCCCACACGTGGGCCTCCAACCATGCCCTAGAGGATTCGTCCTCGCAGACAAAGATGGCTGCCCCTCGAGAGAGGTAGCAATCAATGTATCTGGGAAGGGCCGCCTCATCTGGGAGCCCCTCTATCAGCACACTTACCGCCTCCTGGACCTGCTGCACCTGTACATCAGTAAATTGAGTCCCAGGATAACCGTCGGACACGACAGCCACCCTGAGACCCGCTTGGGATGCACGCGCATAGCTAATCTGCGCATGCGTCGCAGTACGAGGCTTCTTCTACGAGGATGCGCCCTCCGGTTTCCCACCGGCAGACCTCTGCCGCTTCCCGCCGCCAGGCCGCTTTAGGGCCTCCGCTGACACACCAGATTGCGCACCGTCTAGCCCAGATGGCGGTTAGGTCCGTCCAGCCGGGGTCCCAGAAGTGGTGCCCCGACCTTCCGAGCCCTCCGTCATCTGCGCCTCTCTCCGCTTCCGAGCCCTTTTCGTTTCGGAACCTGGCCGAGACTTCTTCTTAATTTGTAGAGAGCCCACCCTTTACGCTAGCTCTCTCGCTAAGCTTCTGACAGATTCCTCTGTCAGAGTACGATCAGGGTCCCCTGGTGAGCGTCCCAGATACATCCGAGACACCTGTGGCTCATCGAATCATTTGATTGGCCGGGTTACCGGCTTTCCGGCGAGTCTCCTCAAAGACTGATCGAGGCGGTCCTCCGCAAGACCGGCACCCCGTTGCCCCCCCTACACGGTCGCACACGCGCCCCCAAGGCCGCCCCGCAGAACGAACTCGAGGACGTACGGGTTGGATTTTGTAGGAGAACATAACCTATAGTGAGAGCTATCAGCATGCCAGAAATCTAAAGCAGTTTACACAAGTACCTTACTGAAATCAAGAAGGCCATATAGGCGTCCTACAATAGTAGGAACGACTGTCAATACGGCGCTTAATCATTTAAATATGTAGTTACCGAAAAAATGTAGAGTGCAAAACAATGATTTTCCTTTTTATTTATGTCATATATTACCTTTTTCTCTGTGAAATAATGATGAATTCAGAGAATAGCTTTCAAGGGAATAAAAAACTAAATCCGACCCTCTGAAATAATGGAGTTTCCAAAACATATTGAAGTTTTAAGGATCATTGTGTAAAATGTTGATGAAACCAAGTTGATGATAACCCTTGAAATTTTGAGTTTTGTGTCACATACTTCAGCTATCATTATCATCTATGTCTATTTTGACTCGGAATTCCCTGTATATAAGCACTTCAATGCATTTCGTACGTCCCAGATGGCAAATTATATATTTAATTATTGAAAATTGCGTGAACTTAAGAAATCTTGTTTTCCAAACAGAAAAGGTTCTTTGTTATCAGATACGTGAATGCGTGGAAACCAATAATGTCGTTTATTTGACAATATTTGTGTAACTTTTAGTGCTGGTTGACGGCTGCTGTTATCAGGATGAGTACAAAGAAACAGAATACCATCGATTCGTTCCTTTCTAAACAAAAAGAACTGTCTGATCCACCGGCAAAAGAATTACCGGAAAAAATTGATTATAGTCCTACAATTCAACCTGAGCCTTCCACTTCAAAATTTCTTGATGTTGCACCGTATGCTGAACCAAGTGTTGAACAATCGGGTGCGAAACCTAAAGGATCCAATTTTGTTGATGTTGCGCCATATGTAAATTTCAGCGGCAACTTGTCTTCCCATGAAGAATATACCTTATTGAGGTGTGCAATGATCCCTAATGACTCTTTCAAATATCCCTATTCCACACACTTGAAAAATAATAAAGAAGTGAAATGTTACTGATCAAAAAAACAGTTTGAGAAATTTCCTTGGCTGTCATACTCAGAGGAACTACAAGGGCTTTTCTGTAAAAATTGCGTGGTTTTGCAAAATTAATAGGATTACATAAATCAACTAAATCATCAGCGTCCGGAGGATGTTTTCCTAGGGGTTGTTACGTGTTACTAGCCTGACGTCACGAATGTCATATATCAAGCTATAGAATGAAGAAATGTGTGTCTATTATTTCCCCAAATGCATTTAGGCCAGATAATTGATTTGTATTGATATAACTGTTTTATGGTCACGTATCAAAACATTCCACGGATAACCCCGAAATGTCACAGCAACAGGAATCCCACCAAACGCATAGAATTGGCGTTGATAGAACCTGATTTTTGACAGAGTGTCGCCTCTGGTAGTACTCTGTGGTATCGTAGTCTCCCGGCTCTGTGGGATGTAAAGAGCAAAGATTATATAGGGTCCGTCAGAAAGAACGCATTTTTTCGATTGGGTACTACATCGAGTGGGCTGGTCCCGTGTCGGTGGGGAAGGGCGTGTTGGATAGTGGAAGAAGTGCCGTTTCAGTTGGCAAGATGGTTTGGAACGTTGAGCATCGTGTGTTCACTGTACGTCGGTACTTTCGAAATATCGAGTCTGTCGTTCGAACGCAACGTGAGTTTCGCGTTCACTTTCGTGTTCCACGTCGTGGGACAGTACCAGACCATAACACCATTTTGAGATGGGTGGAAGCATTCAACACAACACGTATTGTGATGAAGAAAAAACCCCGGATACGTAGACATACAGACACGCAGCAAAGCCCGAATCTTTCCGTCCGTTTGCGTGCCAGTTACCTAGGTATCCACTCGTCCTCTGTACGTCGCATCTTGAAGAAGGATTTAGTGTTCCATCCTTACAAAATCCAAGTTTGTCAACAACTGTTGCCAAGGGATTATGCACAACGTGTTAATTTTGCACAGCTCATGATTGAACAGCTGGATAACAATGGCATGACGTTGTTTATGAGTGATGAAGCACATTTTCATTTACATGGGTACGTCAATAAACAAAATTGTCGATATTGGTCTCCAATGAACCCCCAACAGTTGCATGAGCACCCCCTGCATACCCCGAAAGCTACAGTTTGGTGTGCAGTACGCCCAAAGATGATTATTAGCCCTTATTTTTTTGAGGATGATGGAGAAACAACTACTGTGAATTCAGAGCGTTACATCCACATGCTGAACAACTATTTTTTTTTCGGAACTTCGATGTCGATGTGTCCGTCTCAGAACAGTGTGGTTCCAACAAGATGGGGCAACAACTCTCACAGCTCGCACTTCGATGGAACTTCTGCGGCAAAATTTCCCAGGATGTCTCATTTCACGTCATGGCTATATTTCATAGCCCCCTCGCTCCCCGGACCTGTCATGGGGGGCTACCTGAAATCAAAAGTTTACCAAAGCAAGCCTTGGACTCTCGTCTATTTGAAGGAGGAAATAAGAAGAAAAGTAACCCAAATTCCTGCAGGGATGCTGGCCGACGCAATGGGCTCATTTCGGGAGAGTCTTGATTCCTGCATTTCGGCTCAAGGGCGCCATAGTTTTTAGAACGTAAATTTTGTTTTACTCAAAAAAATGGAATGTGTTTCTGAGTATTTTGATATAATAAAATATTTCCCATACTTATTTTGACTGTACCACTCATTTGAAAAATATGCGTTCTTTCTGACGGACCCTGTAGGGTAATCGTGCCAAAAAATGGGAGCAGTACAAAGTGCTGATACAAAAATACCGCGAAAAATATTCGGATGCTGATAAACAAGAAGTAGTAGGAGTTAAACCGGATTCGCCATTCTGAGAAAAGTGGTGCTGGTGCAGAAGATGTTGAACTTTCGCTATGGTATTCCGAAAATATGAGGTTTCTCATAACTCATGAAACACCTACTACTTCAATCAGCACGATGTATATATGTGACGATGTTCAACCACAAAGAGGATAGTGCCGATGTAAATGAAACCAGCGGCTCCACAGTAGGTTATCTGTTTTATCAAGTTTCAATACAAGTTTATCATACATAATGTTAACTTATTATTTAGAATCATTATTTCACTGTTTTTTGATAATTATTATAAGGTATATCCTTTTTAATTATTGCTTGAATCAACTGCTCCTACAACTTTCCATTGCCATGAAACCTGGCCTTCATTGTTGAAAAAATGAGTATAGGTATCTCTGACTGCTTTAGCACTATTTGTTGCTTTTATGGAGGTGACGTTTGACTGGAGTGGTATGATTTCATTTACAACATCCCTCCACGATCAGTTCGTGACAACTCCTGACTGCAAATCCTCCCTATCCACAATGTTCGATGTGACATAAGCTCGTGGTGGGCGTTTTCGTAAAAAATGATGTAAATAACAACATGCCAAGGTAACTATTCGAGCCTTTTCTGGAGATAGTGCTGTTCCACTGTTAATGCTGCTTGGGAGAGGGTACCATCAAATTTTCTGTTAGCCTAAAAGCATCATCTCCCAAAAAGCGAATGGCAATATTTTCTGACTATTATGCAGTTGTGTTGGTTCGGGAATGCACAATGTATTAGCAGCAAGCGCTTGCCCGAATTTTGTGTAACTGAGTACACCACCGTCTGATATTCGCTCATTAACTCCTACATCAACCATCATAAACTCATAGTTTGCAGTTGCCACTGCCATCATCACAATGCTGAAGAATTTTTTATAGTTGAAATAAAGTGATCCAGAATTGTCAGGTTTCTTTATTGCAACATGCTTGCCATCGATTGTACCCAGACAATGGAGAAATTGCCATTGATCGTAGAAATCTTGTGCAACTTGTTTCCATTCTTGTTCTGGAGTTGGCACCTGCCACAAAGAGAAAAAAATTTATAACAGCCAAAAAAGCTGGCAGTTTGAGACGGTTAGCTGAAAATAACTGTTTTTGCTAAACGATTTACAAAGCAAAGATAGTTTCGATGATAATTCTTTAGAAACTCACTCTTATGGTCAAAAGGTCATGCTGCATGATCTGATTTAGTTTTCTCTTTTTTTTTTCAGGCCAATGCACCTCGTCAAAATAACAGAAAACGTAAAGCTCTAGATCCCACTGAGGAATTGGTGAAATTGGCTTCCAAACGCCTTCAAGAACCACAAGACGACAGCGACGAAATTGCTGCAGCTTGGGCAGTCGAACTCCAAAAAATGGATCCACAACAACAATTTATTGTTTGCGAAGAAAGCGATCAGTGATATTCTATTTGAGGGACAAATGGGGACCTTACATCGTCATTCGGTGGAAATCAACGTCGCACGTGTGTCCAGGCAGTATAGTGTTCCGTCCCTCATTCACTCCATCAGAATTATTTAGAAGACCCCCTCCACGCAAGACACGGGTACATATTTTGCTACTTTTCGGTAGGTGAGTGACTTTCCAAATTAATGTAGGTTTGAAGGTATACGTTCTGAATAATGTAAATCATTGTTCTAGCCAATGTATGACAATATTTTGATTGTTTAAATAAAGATTTCAAGTGAAAAAAAGTACTTACATTATTAATTTTATCCTTGAGACACTTGATCAAAGCAGTGCACGTTTCCATAACAATGTGTAGCGTTTTTCTGGGTTCTTTTGGGTGTGGATTAAAACACTGGATTCCACAAAAAGAAATGCACTAATTTATTTAACTTGATAAAACATTTACTATATATGCACCATTATTTATGCCTGACTAATTCTTATGTCACCATCACTATATATACCAGTACTATACTTCACTCCGCTCTGCTACTCTACCGTATTCAGTATTCCCTTCCATCTCCCGGCCGCCGAGTTATATAGTCCGCCTCGTTGAGTCTAGAAGAATCGGGAACCACATAGCGACCTTCCCGAATAGTCAAGGTTGCTTCGCGTCGATCTAGATGGCGATCCACCGCCAGGTGGCTGGTGCAGTTGTGATTCGCGTAAAAGCAGAGATCGGCCGTGAAGCTATAGCGAGTAGGAGACTCGCCCAACAGATGGCGCCGACAGTATGATTCGTCACACTGCCCTCTCCCTAAAGTCATTCCGTCCCGGAATGATCTTACTGCCGGTGGATGTCGATATCGGCACGACGGCCCTCTCTTGCAGTAGGAGTTCTTGAAGAAGTAACAATCCACACTCTTTCCAGGAGGTAGCCGTCTAGGACTGTGACAACATACCAGAAATCGAATGCCTGTATACCGGAAGGCTACCTCAAGCATGCTTCGGATGATTCTCCAGTCCAGGTTGTCCAGTCCATATGCCAGCTTAGGTATTGCCAGTTTTCTCAGGTCCTCGGCAAGCAAGACTTCTCTAAGCGAACACAAAGCGCTCCAAACATCTTCGTAATTCGGTTTCTGATACGAAGCCCATTCGTAAAAAGTTGCGGAAATCATTTGATTCAACTATTCTCAGTTCATTGAGTAATTTTTCGTGGGTGTACTTTTTCCTGTCAATAAACCACTGTTTGGCCCATTTTCTACCTTTCTGCGAGCCCTTTTTCTTTCCTTTTTTTGCACTTGCGGCTACAGCAATTATCACGCAACACAAAGTCACTTTCACGCAACATGTTAGGTGCAAGAAATTCTGGGGAGGCCTGTTTGCACAATGTGCTTGTACGTCTGTGCTCACGATTGCACCATTATAGAACCTTCAATGTCGCCTCATACGGTACAATATTTTGTACAAACTACAATATTGTACCATAATATTGACCGTCTATGGTCTCCTGTCAAAATATTCTGCCAGCCACATTGCACAATAATATTGAACGTCTACAGACCGCTTTAGTTGATTTTTGTAATTTTAGTGGACCATTTACTGAAAAATATGAGATAGTGCCATCCTGCTCGAATTTTGGTGATTTTATTTATGTTTATTTATGACATCTCCTGTACGGATACTGAATACAAGTAAGTTAAAAGGGGGACAATAAGATGCAGTATTCTTTGGTTTTTTGTACTACAGAGGAGACTTGCTAGATGGCGCTTTCAGCTTACATCTTCCTCAATTAATGATAGTTCGATACTGAATAATGCGGGTCCCACACGATGGTTCCAGCGTGGTGTACAAACGTTGTGTACAACGTTCAACACCCCACAATTGGCAAGTGAGTCTCCTACGCGATGGGATGAACTTTTTAGTCTCGAACGTGGTGGCGCCAACGTTTATTATCGGTGTCAGTGTCGCGCTTGAACCTTTACAACTGAAGGAAAAATTATACAAAATAAACGATGAAACAATTTTTTTGAGCGCCGAAAAATAATTTGAGATCTGTCTTCAGCGATCAAAACTTAAGTCTGTCAGAAGCCTCAAGAATGTCGAAAAACGAAGTTTGTTTTTTGACAATAACTCCGCCGCCACTGTACCGATTTTCAAAAAATGCAGAGCTTTTTCGTCATTTTTATAGTAGTGACCTAGGGTCAAAATTTCATCAAAATCCTGATAGTTCTTTCAGAATTATCATTTATTTAATCGTTTTCGTTAGTTATGAAATGCAAAGTCAATATATTTCTCAACTAGTCTTGCATCGCAACAGAACATTATAATGAAACAATTGTAAGCACTTGGTAATTTCTAATTTACTAAAATACATATCCTTAGGCCAGCCATAACTCACCTGCGAAACGTACAAAATATTAGCAATATGAAAAAAGTGTTGTTATGACAGCATACGTTTTGTATGCATACTAATTTAATTCATTCTCAAAAGTTAATTACGGAACATACATTATTATAAATCGGTATGGGTATGGCACAGCAAACAAGTAAATAACGTTTTTCGTCGCTACTGGTTCTAACCTAAAACCATCAAACACATGACATCTCGTGTGGGAACGTAACGAACGATGGTTCCAAAGTTGTAACGTCCTTTGACGCGGGTTAAATTTACAGACAAGAGACCGAACGTGTCATGTGGCGAACGTTGGACACATGCAATCTGTCAGCGCTCTCCCATAAGAATCTATTACACAGGGCGAGATTAGTAGCCGATCGCCGGCGAGTAGCGAGTGAGCGAGTAGAACACTCTCAGCGAGCGCAAATTACACAGCGCTATTAAAATCGCTTTACTCGCATCGTATTGAACCTTTGAAAAGTGTTTAGTTTGTATCTTTTGTGCGATAATAGAATCTAAAATGGCTGTTAAATGGAACAGTAATCAAATTATACAGTTCTTAAAAGTCTATGAAAATTTGCCGTTTTATGGAATATAAAACACAAAGATTACGTTAATATCAAACTCAAAGATGATTTATTCAAGAAAATGTGGGAGCAATTAGAGGATAAAGGGCTTTTAAAAGGAATGGACGAAAAACAACTAAAAAACAAAATAAAGAATTTAAAAGATGTGTTTCGTCAAGAACTGGCCAAGATAGAACGAAGCAAAAAAAGTGGCTGTGGAACAGAGGATATTTATACCCCAAAGCTAACATGGTTTGAAGCTGCCCATTTTTTCGCTGAAGTTTTGTCAACAAGGCATAGTAATTCAAACTTGGTAAGGAGATTTTAGAGCTATATATTTTTTATTCATAATTAAGCAAATTATACATAACAAATAAGGTTAAATTTTCTTTAACACTTTGAGCAGAATTAATTTGAAAAATAATAAATCACTTAAAAATATAAAAATTGTTCAAGCTAATTCCAATCCCACTTTTTTCCATTGCCACGGTAAAGGATTGTCTTCCATAAAATACTTAGCGTATTTGCGTCTTACTTCCTCTGCAGAATTTTTGTAGTTGTTGCTTCCCAAATGACTAACCGTTGGCAGATTATTCACGTGGTTTCTCCATTGCCCAAAAGTAATATTGCCCGTGTTAAGATCCTCTCTATCCACGACATTTTCAGGAAAATAAGTATTTGGGCTACTTTTTTTCAGCCAGTTGTGGAGACTACATGCTGCCAAAATACCATTGTCAATTGTAGTTTCTTTTAATTGAATTGGTCTTGAAAATATTCTGAAGCGCCACACAAGAATACCAAATGCATTTTCCGATACTCTTCTTGCGCGAGAGAGTCGGTAGTTGAATATCCTTTCAGTATTATTAAGCTGTGACTTACTGTAGGGTTTCATTAAGTTGGTTCTCAATGGAAAGGCATCGTCCCCAACAATGACAGAATTTTCAGGCATGTTAAGTGTGTTATTTTGCATTGCTATGTTCAAAGTACTGTCTCTAAATATTTCACTGTCACTAGCTCGGCCGTTTGCTCCAATATCAATGTAAGCAAAGCAATAATCTGCGTCCACCATTGCGAATAACACGATACTATATGTTTTTCTGTAATTAAAGTACATTGACCCAGACTTGGGAGGTTTTTTAATCAGAACATGCTTACCATCAATTGCTCCACATCTTGGGAAATTCCAACGAAGGAAAAAATTGTATTGAATTTGTTTCCATTCATTGCTTGTTGAAGGAATCTGCAAGAAAAAAATATGATTTAAAAAATTTGTTTAATTCTTAAATCAAGCAAAAAGTTAAAAAAATCTTTACAAATTTGTTCTAATTTTTTTCAGACTCTACCCAGCACAGAAAATATATCTGAGGAAATCTCAAATTCACAAATTGAACAGCGTGACGATGAAGAACCCGATACACAGCCCAAGGAACAAAATATAAAACCCTCAGAGGGGATGGGACCCCCTAAATCGAAAAAAAGGGTGAGAAAACAGGCAGATCCAGAAATTGGCGATGCAATCAATCAGTTGAATAACTGAAAATGTATCAGAAGGAAAACCGTACGACGAATTTGGAAAGTATGTAGCTGCAGAGCTGCGTCAATTACCCCAACGTGAGGCTATTTTATTGCAGCAAGAAATTCAGAATTCTATTACACGTGTAAAGCTAATGTGTTTTGGAAATGATAATCAACTAAATAATTACTACAGAGAGCCCCTTCAAGTGCAAACTTGTTCACCGTTATCCTCCCCTAGTGATCCCAGCCCTGCCTCATCAGCAACATATGAAGCAAATGTGCAAAATGACAAAGATAGCGTTTATGGTAACAATGTTATTCATCAAGCACTATTAAATACATTTTCGGGGGCAGAGTTTGAAATAGTAGAAGAAGTTTCTCAATGAAATAGATTCTATTTTTCATATAATTATAAAAATATTTTGTTTTATAAGTATAAGTACTGTGTTAAAAATAAATTGATACTTAAATTAAACCTACCTTTATATATGGCTTTAGGACCTGACAAATTGCTGCAAGTACTTCGGGTACAAACAATGAAATTGTACATTCAGGCACTCGAAATAAATATTCTAGTGATTTGAACGAATCACCAGTTGCCAGCGTAGGGTTATTTCTAGTTTTGTAGCAGTTGGAATCGCCATCCCCATTTTTGTGTCTTTTTTGCGGATTGTTTCGTCAACCATTTGTAATAGTACATTAAACTGTTCATTGCTCATTCTCAAAACATTCCTATATGCCACAGGATCTTCATCCTTTAATTGTCTTAATAAAATATTAGAAGCCCCATGTGTGTCCCGTTTTGAAATCCAATTCCTGACCCACATCCTTCTCGCTTTCCTTTTTTCTGGTTTAACCGTTCATGAAGTTTTTTCCGAATTAAAAGGCTGACAAAAACAATTCCTACATGCACTATATCGGCCATTTTATCCAACTAGTCGGGCTTTAGCTTATTACACATAGCGTTTTCACTCGTCAAAGAGAAAAATTGCGAGCGAGTAGCGAGAAAAGTAGGCCGGTGTTCAACTTTACTCGCTGGGAAAAAGCGAGCCGCGAGTTTACTAGCAGCTGCGATTACATTTGACGACTTTTATAGCAGCGAGTAAATTCGCTGACGAGTAACTACTAATCTCGCCCTGTGTAATAGATGCTATACGATGCGATGTGGCGAATGGTCATGTGTCCAACATTGTAAGTCATTCGCCACATCGTGTGGGAGAGATTTTATTTTCATGTCATCGAGCTGATAACCTTTGTTGACATCGTTGTCATTCCTATGTCATTGTGATCCTGTCCCCCACGTCTCTGTTGTCCTATTGTCGTTTACAAACACATATTTTTAATATTCAAATACATATATATATATATATATATATATATATACATATAAGCCCAAGGCATAAATATGTCTTTGGTCCCAAATTATGACGATTCATCAAATTCTAGCAACTTAAGTTCCTCAGATTCCGAAAAAGAGACTACTTGGTAAGTATATTTGAAAACAATATCTACTGCTTTTTTAACTAGATACAGGAATACTTCTGTGAAATGTGAATTTCTTTACAAATAGACGGTTTTTATATTCAAATAAGTAAATATTCAAACCATAGACCAGGTAAAATATATCTATGTCTGAACAAATGAAAATAATAATAAAACGACTTTATTGGGCGAAGTTTTGTATATATTACACCACAACCAGTAGAATGTCCATCATCAACAAAATATTTGCCACATAAATATACAGTTATTAGTGTGGTCTCCACTGATGACTCTGTTATTACATATGTTATTTAAAAAAGTTAAATTCAAAAATTGTAGCTTTTGACTTGAAAAGTATGTTTATCTCTTCAATGTCCTACCCACATGGCGACCCAAACATACATTTTCCAAATGGAAAGCCCTGCATTTTATTGCACATTTGGATAGGCACTTTCAAATGAATTGAACTGGGATTTTATTTTCAAATGGTTAAGATATGGACAATCTATCAAAAAAAATACTCAACTTTGACAACTTACATGGCTATAACTGTTATAAAGCTAGATTACTGAATGGTCACGAATACAAAAGGAATGATGTCTCAAAATTTTTAATAAGCAGGAACACATTTTTGGATTCGCCTCTACACAAGTTTTTTTCTGATATAAGATTTATTGGAGTTTATAGCCCAGTTCATTCAGCTGTTGCAACCAACCAATATACAAATTCTAATGATCTGCCATTTCCAACTGAATGCTATTTTTTATTTTGAAAGATATATAATATTTTTCATTTACCTTGATATCTGATTTACATAAAGGTTAGCTGTAACTCAAAAGCCAGTCCTGCAAACACTCATGAGCTCTATATAAACACGCCTGTGAAAAGGAGAATCGAAGAATGTGATAATATACAGGATTATTCCATTTGAAAAGTTTGCCTTCTAAACCACCCTGTATAAACTGTCAAAAAAAGTGAAAGTTGATGGGAAGAAAATATGCGATCATATGATGAAAAATTGAGTACATATATAAGAGTTGTAGAGGTGCGAGTTGTCCAAGTAGAGTGTTTTTTTTTCGATACATTGTCAATATCTTAAGAATTTGAGAATAATATCTTATAGTTTATTACATCAAATTGCTTAGTTTGAAAAGGCCTATATAAATTTGCAATAAAATGTACATCTTTCCATTTAAAAAATGTATGTGTCACCATGTTACCAATCACCCAAAAGAATTAAAAGTATTTTTGAGTAAAGAGCATACTGTTGTCTACAATTTTTGTATTTTTTTTTTAGGCACCATGCATAATGGTGTTATCAACTGAGCCCACACTAAAACCTCACCCTGTATGTATATAAACCAAACATCACTTAAAGGGATGTGTTGTAAACACCCATATAACTAAGTAAAAAATGGGTCAGCTGTCATATGTTTCAGCCCAACAGACAAAAAAGAGCCAGTGCAAAAGCCCAAACTCCTTCCTACACCAACATTCAATTGTTCAAAGAACATTTCCACCGAAGAGACAACTTCCGTATTCAAAAATCCATTTCTTGAAGCAGAAAATGCCAAAGAGGCTATTTTACAGAAGCATGTTAAAATGGTGGATGTAAAGGATAAGATAGATTATATCAACGGGAAGAAGATTTGCTGGAATTACAGGTAATATTTTGATTCTGGGTGATTTTAATATTTCTAGTTATGCGTAATATGTGCTAAGTGGTGAGGAACCTTCTGTGGTTAGTAGTTTGCTTATTTTTTGCATCTTGCACCTGGCGGTAGTTGTCTCCATTAATGAATTGCTTACCAAGCAAGAAATTCAATTTGACAGAATGGTGCCTAATTCTTTCAACTTCAGAAAATCTAATATCTCTTTATTGTATGATCAACTATTCTGCACCAATTGGAACTTTCTCGATAGCATTCATGATGTTGAAGAAGCGCGCGAACAATTTTATGCTGCATTGAATGTAATTTTTTCTTTGTGTGTCCCAAAGTACTCCACGACCAGATGTCGTAGACAATTCCCGCCTTGGTTTAATGGTACCATAATAAAGGGTATCAGAACTAAGGAGATATTGTTTAGGAGGTTAAAGTTAAATTCTGATGAAATGACCTTGCATGATTACAAAGCTTTGAGACTCAAAATTAAAAAGGATATTGATATTGCTTATAAAGACTATGTAAAAAACCTGAAAATGACATAAAGTGAGACCCGTCAAAGTTTTGGTCATTTGTCAACAGCAGAAGAGGTCATGGCTCTATACCTAAGAATATGACATAACGGTTTGGATATAAGTGAGCCTCAAGATATTCTAAACAGCTTTGCTGACTTTTTCAGTAAATCTTTTATTGCTAGCTCAAGTGGCAAAACCAACTCCACTCAGTCAACTGGAAGTAGTCCTTTAACAGTGACTGAGTTTAATGTGAATGAGGTTTATGATGTCTTGAGACGACTAAAGCCTAAATTAACTTCTGGTCCAGATGGCATTCCGGTTTTTATATTAAAAGACTGTGCATCTGTATTTGCAAAGCCTTTAGCAATGATATTCAACTTACCGCTTCAAAATGGTAAATATCCATCATCGTGGAAAGTGTCAAAAGTTTGGCCTGTTTTTAAAAATAAGGGTAACAAGAGCGATATTGAGAATTACAGACAAATCACGATAATTAACAACTTTTCAAAGGTTTTTGAGTTTCTTATATATGATGCAGTTTACTGGCATGTGCATAATACTTTATCAACTCAACAGCATGGCTTCATGAAAAAACGATCAACTGTGACAAACTTATTCTGCACTGCTCAGTATATATCTGGAAATATAGATTCTCGTACTCAAGTGGACGTCATTTATACTGATTTCTGAAAGGCATTTGACCGAATAGAATGCTAGACAATGCAATACCTTCTATTTGCGTACCCCTAGAACAAATATTTTAAAGTTTGGAATACTTCTAGCTTAATGTCGGTGATTGCTATAGGGTTTCTGAGGGCGTCAACATGAGTCATGTTTTTACCAGCTCTATACTCAATTTCAAAAGAATATTCTTGAATCTCCAGTCACCATCTTCCAATGCGAGGAATTAAATCTTTCTTTGACAGGGTCGTCCGCAAGGCATTACAATCTGTGATTATTTTGAAATTTATCCCTAGCAAATACACTCGGAAATATTTTAAAGCGTAAACTACAGCTATAGTCTCAAGTTCGTAAGAGTGATATTGTCGTTGATCACATGTTGTTTGTTTGCTAAAATAGGAAACGACATGTGATTTACCTTCAGAGTCAAATTGAAGTAACATTGCTCCTAGGCCAATAGAGCTTGCGTCCGTATGAAGTTCTGTCCTTAATTTGGGGTTATACGAGTATATTGCAAGGATCGGGCGTGATGTTAATGCCTGTTGAATTTGATGAAACGCCTCTTTTTGTGGTGCATCCCAGGTCCAAATTTCATTGTTACGGGTTAATCTTGTCAAAGGCTCGACAATCATGAAAAATGCTTAACAAATTTCCGGAAATAACTGGCTAACCCGAGAAATTGACGTACTTGCTTAACGTTGCGAGGATACGGCATATCTAGAATTGCCTGGATCTTCCTTTTTCCAGGTTTTACCCCTTCTGCACTAATTTCTCTCCCAAGGTATTCTATTGTTGTTTCCAGAAATACACATTTGCTGATTTTCAAGGTAAGGTTATGTGTTCGGAGTTGAATTAATACTTTTGCCAAACGTTCTAGTCCCTCTGCGATCGTAGAAGATGGAATTATGATATCATCGATATATGGAAAGGCGTATTTGTTTTTTAATGGTCCCAGTACTTTGTTGATTAATGATTGGAATACAGAAGGACAATTTGTTAGCCCGAAAGGCATCCGTAAAAACTCGTAGTGGCCGTCAGGAGTCACGAATGCCGTCTTTTCGATGGAGTCGGCAGCCATACGGACTTGATAAAATCCTAACGCCAAATCTAAACTTGTGAAGTATTTAAATCCTCCTAATTTATCAATTTGATCCTCAATATGCGGCAATCCACCATGATTTTTTATGGTAATTGCATTGAGCTGCCTATAGTCGACGCACATTCTGTAGTCCACATCCTTTTTCTTAACTAGTGTGATGGGGCTAGCATACGGAGAACTAGATTCACGAATGATTTTGTTATCTAATAGTTCTTGAATCATATTTCTAAGAATTTTCTTTTCGATGACAGGGATTCGATAAGGATGACGCACAATTGGCGTGTCAACAAAACATTTTATTTCCATTTCTACACTGTTCGTATTTCCTAAATTTTCCATGGACGATGAAATGCAGTCCGAGAAATCATGCAACAAAGCGATGCAATCCTTCTTATCAGCCTCCAAAATCGCACCTATCTTTATATTATTCAGATCCAAGCCGTTGTCGTAAACTTCAATTAAATTCACAAACAGGTTTTCGGTGGGAGGCAACCTATATAAATTTAATCGGTTCTCACGTTTAGTCATCACCACGTGTTCTTGGTTAATAAAATCTCTTCCGACCAAAAAATCGTGTTTCAAGCATTTGTCCGGAACAATTATGGCATTCACTACTGCCGAAATTCCCTGTATACTAGCGGTGATCTTGCAAAACGATGTGCTGTTCAAAGAGGTGCCCATAAAACTATATAGGGTTAAATCTTTTGAATCCGTACGAAGAAGCCCAAGTTTTTTAATGAGCGATTCTTTTATAAGTGTGTTAGAACTGCCTGAGTCTGTTAAACAGTTTGTCTTCTTTCCGCAAATTCGGGCATTTTGCAAAAAAATATTAGGACCCACACTTCTTAATACTTCAACTTGTTGCACTTTCTTACGCGGAAAAGGGCACTTTTCTTTAATATGTCCCAATCTTTTACAACTGGTACATTCGACGCGTGGCTTTCTGCAGTTAAATGAAATATGGCCCGGAATACCGCAATTAAAACAAGTTGGGCGCGTACATGAAGCCTTATTAACTTCCCTTTTATTATGATTGCCATAACCAGATCTGGAAGACGTTGCCGGTTGAAATTTTCCACTATTAATATGAAAACTTTTTCTTTCTTGAGGCATTTCGCCTACAGTGTTTAAATAAGCATATAAAGCGTTTGCATCGGTATGTTGTGCAGCCCTGACCGTTCTTGCTATGTTTTCATCCCTGATACCACCAATCAATGCATAAATCAAATATGGATCAGGTATGTGCATATTAAGTGCTCTCAAGGTAGACAGTTTTTTAAAACAATAATCTCCTAAATTTTGCCCAGGTATTGCTTCGTAGTTAGCGGCATCCTTAAATAATTCTGAAAATGGAACCGACTTACGGAAATGCTGGCTCATTGATTTTTTTATTTAATCCCAACTGGAGTCATACTCCACATTTTCATCGTACCACTGACGAGCATTGCCCCGTAATCTTCCAGAAATCAATCGTAAGATGGTGTCGTCATCCCAGTGATAGCGTTCTGCCAATCAACTTTATCCAACCACAACCACAATCACATCGTCCCGATTAGGTTCAAACGTTGGCACTAAGAGTTCATCTCCCGCACGAATAATCGCGGGGCATCGTTTTAATTCGTTCAACTCTTTTCGTAATCGCTTTACAGTTTTCCTTTTAGTCGATCTATCGGAAGAGGCCGAACTCGAACCGTCACTGTTACTTTCACTCGAGGATTCCTTTCGACTCCGTTTTCCACCTTTATTCCGTGATTTCGATTTCCCCATGACGGATAAAAATTTTAACTGATTTTGAAGTATCCCACCGCTGCTTTGTAAGAAAACACGGGTATTCCGAATTATTCCAATATATTCCGAAATTACATTCGCTCAATACCACGTCTAATTCTTAACTAACTCAAAAAATATCCCTCGCTCCGTACTATTGCCATTCAACATTCCACATAAAAATACAGGTTACGGATACGAGGTCTCGCGATAGTTCTAGCATAAACAACTATATCGAGTAATATATAATGTAACGTACTGCTAAGGAAATATTAATAACACAAGACACAGTATTTTTCAGATCCCTTTTATATGCCTTTTTGCTGACTCTTTCAAAAAGTCTGTTTTGTCTTTCTTAGACTATGCTCTATAATAATAATGGACCTAATAATAATAATAATGCTTTATTGCCCAATAGAAATTGATTCCATTTACAGGACAAGCTATGAACCTACAAAAAGAATAGATCTACATATCTAAAGAAAATAATATAAAAAGAAGCAATTACATAATGTTATTCATCTGAGCATATCGTTCAGCTGACTTATTCTACAAAAGGCCAGGCATTCAACATTAACATCACACACATCACTAATAATATTGAAATTAGATTTCATGTTGTAAGACAAAGGCGAATTTATTCCTAAATTTGAATTGCAGTGATCCAGCTTAAAGTATGGGTATGACCTAAGCCTGAATGGCGGTGTATTGAAATTCAATTGTGATAATATGTGCATACTATCTATCTTGTTATGCAACAGTTTATGTAAAAATATTAATAAAAACTGAACGCGCCCCAAATCAAGAGGTGGCAAACCAAACCTATAACACAAATGAACCTCAGAAATGCCCGTTATAGGATATGAACCATCACATTTTAAACATAGATATTTGAGAAAACGCCTTTGTACCTGTTCTAGGGAGGCCTCATAAGTCATATAAACTTCTAAACTAAAGATGTATATTCTAACCAAGAGCAAACATATAACTTTTTAAAAACATATAACCAAATGCTTTACTGTTTTTTAACAATAAATCCATAGAATTTGAATGCATGTGATATTTTCAAGTTGATGTGACAGTAAAAGTTTTTTCAACACAAATTGGCATCAGCCAACCAAGGTCCTCTGACAGTAAAAGTTAAAAGTAGTTTTTCATCGAACCATACATCCAGATCCTAAATTTGATCATCTTTTAAGAGATAATTATTTGCGACCATATAGTGATGAACAATTATCTGTTTTTTTTTTCTTGAAAATGTTACAATTGCACTTAGATACATTCAACTACAGCTTGTTAGCTAGACACCAATCATGGATGGAATCAAGGTTCTGGTATAGAATACTGCAATCTGAGATGTTATTAATTGTTATGAAGATTTTCAGATCATCAGCATATTATAATTGCAAACAAGACAAGTTGCAATCGTTTATGTACAGTAAAAATAGAAATAGAAGGCGACCTAGGTTGGAAGCTTGCGGTACACATGAAGCTGCTATATATTCTTGATACACAAAACCATTATAAAAAACGAATTGCGACCTATTTTCAAGATATGATTGAGAGAAATCAACCTTTAAATCAAATCCAAAATTAGATATTTTGCTGCCGTGATCTATCCATTAAATGCAGTTTATAGAAGAGAACAAATTGTTAGTGGAGGCACAAGCAGGCTTTCGCAAAAAATATTCCACAGAAACGGCTTTCCAGTTAGTTACTGAGAATTGGAGAAGAGCTATAGAATCAGAAGAAGTTGTCATAGCAGTATTTCTGGATTTGAAGAGGGCATTTGGAACTATTGATAGAGATATCTTGTTAGGTAAATTGAAGTACACATATCAGGAAGTGTTTTTAGATTGGTTTAAAAATTATTTGTCTAAAAGGATGCAAGTTACAAAGGTTAATGACACCATTTCATCAAAAATTGAAAATACGTTAGGTGTTCCACAGATCAGTTCCTGCCACAGTCAAAAACTGCAAAATTCAGACTTTCGCCAATGACACTATGATTTATATAAGTACTAAATATATTCAATCTGGTATCTCTTATATAAATGAACTTGTTTCAATATGGTTAGCATCTAACATACTCAAATTGAATACAAGTAAAATTAAAGCTATGTTAATTAGAAAAAAACACGTACAAATGTTCAACTAAATATTGATGGTGAAGATATTGAATTCATAGAAAAATTTAAATACCTTGGGGTTTTTGTTGACTCTTGATTAAGTTTTGAGATCCATTATGAAAAAGTTATAAATTAGATTAGTAGTAAAGTGGTATTTTATCTCTGTGTATAATTTATTATATTCAATCAACCCTTGATGGAATACAGATTTGTAGCATATGTTATACTTTTTGGTCATTAAATGGAAGTCATCTTTATTTCTGGTATTATGTAAATGATGGTCAGCATTTGATGATGTTAAATTAGCTGGACTTGATAGAAATACATAATTTTTTATTTTATAAATGAATATCATTACAATTTTGATGAAAAAAATTACATTGAGCCATTTTAATTTGCTAAGCTTTTGTCTAATTGGAGTATATTTATCTTTATTCAGTATTATTCTCATGCACTTGTAAAATTTGCAGTCTTTCAAAAATGGAATTATTTGCTTAATATAGAATAGTCGAACAGTACAAGAAATTTGGAAGATTGATGGTATTATAGATCATTTTTCTACTATATGAACTCAGACATCCAGAAACTCTTGATAAATATCCCACTTTACGACTAATCTTATTTATAACTTTTTCATAATGAATATCAACAATGAATCGAGAGTCAACAAACACCCCCAGGTATTTAAAATTTTTTATGAATTCAATATCTCATCATTAATATTCAGTTGCACATTTGTACATTGTTTTTTCCGATTAACATAGCTTTCGTTTTACTTGTATTTAATTTGAGTCTGTTAGATGCTAACTATTTTGAGACAAGTTTCAAGTCTTCATTTATATAAGAGATACCAGTCTGAATATTTTTAGTACTTATATAAATCATAGCGTCATCGGCGAAAATATGAATTTTGCATTTTTTTACTATGGCAGGTAAATCATTTATGTATAAAGTAAAAAGAGGTGGTCCCAGGGTACTGCCCTGTGGAACACCCAACGTATTTTCAATTTTTGATGAAATAGTGTCAGTAACTTGCATCCTTTTAGACAAATAATTTCTACACCAATCTAAAACACTTCCTGATATACCATATGTCTTCAATTTACCTAACAAAATATCTCTATCAATCGTTTCAAATGCCCTCTTCAAATCCAAAAATACTGCTATGACAACTTCTTCTGAGTCTATGGCTCTTCTCCAATTCTCAGTTACCAACACTGGAAAGCCGTTTCTGTGGAATATTTTTTGCAAAAGCCTGCTTGCGCCTCCACTAAAATTTTGTTTTCTTCTATAAACTGCATTAATTGGTCATGCACTACGGACTCCAATAATTTTTCAATGTCTGGTAACACATTTACTGGTCTCATATCGCTGCATCTTTTAGAATTTTTTATTTTGGGAGCTGGTGTTATTGTAGAGCATTTCAAATTTTGAGGAAAAGAACTGCTTCTCAGTGAACAATAGATCCAATTTAATATAGGATATCCCAAAATTTCGTAACAGTTTTTCAGCACGTTTTGTATTGATTTCGGCACTGTTATTGTTGGATCTTAAACTGTTTATTTTTTTCTCAGATAATTCAATGATACGCTATGAAATTTTGATAGTGTATGTAACACATCCTCCTGGAAACTGATTTCCATATAGTCAGGTGCAGCATTGACAGTACCCACGATATCAACAATACTTTCCACAAAATATTCATTTAGTACTTTTGCAATCACCAAAGAATTTTTTTCGGTACCGTTTTCGAATTGAACTTGATTTACACAATCATGCGGCTTTGAATTGATCAGTCTTTTTAAAGTTTTCCACATCTTTACAATGTCGCACTTGTTATTATCGATTTGTTTATCGTAGAATTTCCTTTTTTTCTTCTCTAATTACATACAAACATTTAGTCCTAAGGTCTTATATTTCCTATTATATTGACATATATTTTTTAAATATTCTCACCAAAATTCCAATAGCAGCCAGCAAGTTCTCGTTCAAGTTTTTCGTAGTTAATAGTATTTACGATTTTCTTAATTTTTGTAGCAGAAAACAGTAGGTGACGGTAGATCGACCCTTGAAAAAAACATGCTGAGAAATGAAAAGTTGGCAACAGACCAAGGGATAAATATGGTCATACAGAATCATTTCAAATACTTTTGAAAAATTTGACAAAAGAAATATGGCTCTATAGTTTTCAAGTTCATTCAAACCGCCAGTTTTGTCTACGGGACAGATCTTTGCTTTTTTCCAGGCTGTTTTGAAGCTGAGCGCTAGTTGATGATGATGATAACCGTTAAAGGAGCTGCATGAACTCGAGCACAGTCTTTTACGAGAAACGATGGGATACCATCTGGACCAATAGTCAATTTGTTTTTCAACTTTTTCATTGTTCGCCCTACATCATCCTCATAGACAGTTGGCAAAGTAATGTTAGTGAGGCTACTACTGACATACTCTGTACTTTAACATTCGAAGGAGGTTTAACAAAAACACTCTAAAAAAGTGGCAAAAAGATGTACAACATCCTGAGGATCATTTGAGTGCATGGTAGCAAACAACATATTGCAAGGAATTCTTGACGAGCCCCTTTTGCTCCTAGTAAATGACTAGACGTAGTATACAAGTTTGAACATCAGTAATTTTTTTATAAGCAATTGCAACTTGTGACTTGATGAGTGACCTCAGCCTATTATGTTTTTAGTAATTAATAATAATATGTGTAATAATAATTTAATATATATAATAAAAAGGGCTGTTTTGTTTTCTTATAGTTTTTATGACATATTCTTGATGATGGCAGATGTATTCCACTTCGGAAAAGATCTTTTATGCCGGTTTGTGACAGGAACATAGGCTGTGAATATATTATTCTAATCTATGAATGAGAAATGTGAAGTGTATATGGAATTGCGTAAAAGATTATTACTGGCGTTGTTGAAACCACTTATTTTTGCTTTTGTTAACCTCGTGTGATTTGAATTATGCCTGTACAGCAGGGAGATTCAAAATTCATAGAAAAAGTTCCAATTACAGCAGAATTTTCCACAATAAACATAAAACTATTTTTTACATGGTTAAATGTTCCTTGAACTTGTCAACCATGTTTGAATGGCAGATCTAAACAGTTTCAAATTTTATTAGGTCACAGCTAAACATCTGAATATTAAATTTAAAATGATCCAATAATGATCTAATCTAGCCATTGCATTTCCATATGTAAGTGGGCAGCTTTACAGTCACAAAAAAACATATCCATAACATTAGTATTTGCAAAACACACAAAAACCATCAAGTACCTTGAAATTGAAAATAAATCCACTCGCCAATTTACGTCATTTTGCACGGCAGTACCTGCAATTCTGGACATATGCATCAAATAGTTTTTTGTTCGAAACAGCCGTTTCAAACGCGAAAAACACTCGCGTACACTCAATTCAAATCTCACTAATAGGTATCTTAGATCAAAATCAGTGTTTGACTATAAAATAGTTAATAAACAAACTTCGTACAAAAAACTACACAAACGTGAAGATCGCGAAAAACCCGTTAAAAACACCTGAAACATTTGATACCGGCCAATGACAAGTTTCATTTTCGGGCATTCAAAATTGTCTGGACCACTAGGAAGTTACTTATAGCCCAGTCAAATAATACGAGGTATATTCTTGTAGTCACCGTTCTTGGCGGGGCAAAGTAAGACTACCAGAATCCCTTTACATATCTTCATCTTCCTCATACATACACATGAAACCTACCCCTGTGTGTGAACGGTTGTTCGGTAAGCTCAAAGACATGCGTTTCTTAGTTGTGTGTCTCCGTCTCGAAAACTTTGTCGTTACGTATGAGTACCCTTCAATCATATTTGTCAGAGTGACAACTTACTTGATATCGGCGTGCAATTTAAGTTGTCCTGTTATCAATCTTCAATATAAAATTGTACAATGCCCAGAAATACGATCTGTTTACTTATTTCATATGTCGTTGATGACGTAACCGCCAAGAACGGTGACTACAACTGTACATACATAATTTACATTTGGTGACACATGGTCTAATTCTCATGACAATAATTTTGTAGGACATATATTGTAAAATACGTACGAATATAAAAATGAACATCTTTAGATGTTATTTGTCTGATTACAAAATCCGTCTTTATTGAACCTGAGTAAAAGATAATTTTAGTGCTTTCATAATATTAGAAAGAGTTTTTAGTGTTTTATTTTCCTGCTTCGTTGTGGTCTTGCTTATTTCGATTTTACGTAGTAGCTAGACAATCCTCCGTTATTCATTCTCGGAATAAGAAAGCTCCGTTAGTTACGGAGAATAGAGGAGGGCTTATTTCGTATTTGTTGCCTGAATTTGTACAGCTGGATAATCACAGTTTTAAAAGCATATTTGTTGAAATGTAATAGAAATAAGGGTTTCACAGATAAAAATAAATGCAACATAAATAAATTGTCTTGGTTTGTGTTGCATATGCAGTGTGGCAACGTAGCCTTTCATTACAGATCTGCTGGTTTTGTGGTTTACTGTCCTTTTGTGGTTCTACTGTTCTAAACCGTTTCAATTCTTGGCCGGTTTGGACATAAACATTAGCGAAGCTTTTGTTTAAAACAATTAAGATTTGAAAATTTTGGGTTAGCTTCACGTCAAAATTGAAAAAAATAACCTGTAATGACTGTTAGTAGTCAGTATTGTCAAATTACCACGATTCACTTTAGAGAGTTTTCATCTCTTTATTCGTCGACATTCATTATTTGTTGTCGTTGACAGAAATAACGTAACGGTTCGTTATTTCTGTTGCACTAAAAATTCGCTTAGTATTTTGAAAATGACCTAATAGATGATTTCACTCTGTCATTACTCAATTGCAGAAAAGGACGCTGTCGATTTGGCCACAACTGTAAATTTGCACATGACTCTGACGTTCAAAAAACTGAAGAGCAAATTCAAGCTGAAAATGAAAAGGCTGTCAAAAATGCAGTTGTGTGTCAAAACATACCACAGATAGGACTAGCAGTAGAGCAGTCACAATTAGATGAAGAAGAAAATGGAACAAGCAAGAAACGGAAAAGGCCGGGTCTATCGCAAAGTTTGGTACCTGGGAAAAAGGTCATGAAGCAGTATTACAACACTAAGACTTAGCTTACAATCAAAATCATTTATATTACAATTTATAAAGTACACAAATGTTTCACAGTTAACAAAAGTACAAATTTTAAGAATTCTCTGTTATATCTATTTATATTTATCTGAATAAGTGTGACATGTTATATATACAACTGTTTGTATATATTGATAGTGATTCAGGAATAAATTTTCAGATTTTAAAAAGGAATGTTTAATAACCTGTCTTCTGTTAATCTTCCAAGCCTTTTGAGGTATGTTTCAGCATTATTCTCAAAGAAGATGCACAAGGATATGCTGCAGTTGGAGCTTCACCTATAATTATCATCACAGCCATATTGCCAAGTAGAATCGCAGTAATTTCATTAGAAGAAAAACATACCATTTTCATTCCAACGAAAGAGCATGCTCTCAACCTCGATATTATACGTATATATTCTTAAGATTTCATATTAGACGTTCTGAATGCCCTAAAAGGAAAATCCATAACCTTGCGCCCAAAAGGACGGATTTAGGAATTTTTCTGGGTGATGCTTATTTCGGAGGAGAGTAGTGACGATGAAAAATCGAAGAATGTTGAAGCCCATATGCTTAGCACTCAAGCAGCGGTTCTGAGAGCAAGTGCACCTGTGACAATTGAAGGGGTTGGATATGTCTGGAGGGGGGGGGTTTGTCTCACGATTCAGATCTAGGAAAGTAATTTTTACATGAACATGCAGCAATATTTTCTTGAAAAAAAAAATGGTAGACTAGGACTTGTAGGAGTATCTTCTGGTCAAATATGCTTCATTTAATCCTAAATGTGTGCTTTCAACCCAAAACTGGCACACCGCTTAGTGAAAGTGGACATTGCTATACAAAACCTTGTGGTGTAAATCTCATTTGACATTCACAAATGAAAGGCATAACCTTTAGAGCTTTTGTAAGATTGACAACACAAGTGTCATCTATTTTTTTCAGTTTCAGTCTAACATTTGGAATGTTTGACCAATATCCACCGCACGAAATCCTTTCCTTCATTGTATCTACGTTTTTGAAATCTCCATCGTTCCACAGGGTCACTAGATTTGTCGCTAGGACGACAATGTTGCATTCATTGACTAAGTAATTTAAGACATTTCCAGTATAGTTCAGAAAACTATTGTTCTCTGAGTGGTTGCTGCTTAAAAAGTACAATGCTGGAAGAGAATCAATTATCAGTAGTTTACAGGTTTGATTCTCTCTCAGCTGTTTCCGTATGCTGAGCAGTGTATTTAGGAATTCAGTTCTGGTATGTACCCTCGCAACCAGAAGTCTTGACAGAATTTCTGCTGCTTGATCCTAAAAGAGAAACAATATTTAAGTTGGGAAACTGCACCCGTTAAAAAGCTGGTAAGTATTACATCGATATAAGGTCGCCTATTATTACTACAATTTATACTTTTTTCAATTTCCTCTCACCGCATTAAAAAGTTTTTTGTCATGTGTGTGCAATTTGGGTTTACGTTTTGTTAATCCCACATAAAACGTAGTAGTGTATTCGGACAGTGGGTCGAAACAGCGCTCATCAATGGCCCCATCCATGTGTTTGTGCAGCTGCATTAAGGATCGGCCGGCGCCGCGTGCGATTTTCCTGCAACGCACATGGTACCTCAGGTATGCGCCTACTTCTTATTTCGTAAAGGCATTGTGACCGCGAAAGGAACTATAGTCCATACAAGCGGGAGGCTTTGGCGGCGACTGGTTGATCTCGATTCGCCCAAGGGGGGGGATAATCCCCTTGGTCCGTACATACCTTATGATCAGTCAACATTCTTCTGAAAGCAATTGCGGAAAAATCATGTTTCGTATCAATATAATAAACTTGGTCTTTTGTAGTTGTGAGCACGTGTTTCGCTAGTGATAAACAGAAAAACGTTTTTCCTGTAGATGGTAGACCGCACATCTCGTATATGTAGCCGGTAAATAGACCGCCATCGATTAGTTTGTCCATACTAAAAAAATAATAGAAAGATTAAAAAGTTATAATCAGAATAATGTAGACATGCATAGTATCTACAAGAGTTCTTTTTATAATGGCAATAGCATCACTTAAAATATAAAAGGGTCTAAAGTGCGATACAGTCGGGTGTTTCATACTATGATCACATTCCCTTTGGTCAAACCTAGGGGCGACTGATATACAGCGAAATATAAGTACTACTGACGCAGTAATGTATACGAGGGAGAAGCGTGCAGTACGTATGTTACAAAGAAGTATAAGCACCACGTTGTCTAGCATCCTGAGTGACGGGCCACGGACACAGTTGCGGCTTGCCGCGTTGCCATCGGCGCACTACTAATATACGTACTGCACGCTACTCTCTCGTTCACATCACCTAGTCAGTGATATTTGGATTTCTCTGTATCGTACGTTGCTAAAGCACTTGAGATTGTTGAAATTTGTCGTTATAAAAAAAAATTATGTCTAGATTTGCCTAAAAATACAATAAAACTACAGCTTCTCCGCGACCCTACAGGAAAGGTATTTCAGACCAAAATCACTCAATGATGTTTGACTGCACAAGGGGCGTTATGCTTAGAACATATCCATTAATCCAATGAAATCATTTAAGTTCAAATTGAAAACGATTGACGAGACTTTTTGCTAATTCGTTCACTACCTGTTTGCCATCGGGATTCTGAACTGTTATCATTTACCATGGCCTAAAAAAAATCAATTATAGCCCTTATCTAGACATATTTTGGAAAATTATGGTACAGGTCAATAAGTAAACAGCGACAAAGGGCTTATCTTCCCTTTGTTTAATAATTACCTTGGTCAAGTGACAATAAAGTCTAAAACTCGTCAGGATAAATATAAGCCATTACACTATGAAAGTTCTTTGACAAAGATATTTGATAAAAGAGGTTAGAAAAGAAACGTGACAGTTTAATAGGCCAACTTTTATAAAAGGAAACTTTTATAAAAGTTCTTTTTATTATTATTATATTAAGCCTCTTCATCCTATATTTGATACAATACTTTGCATAGTTGTGTCAAGATGAGGGAAAACAGATGGTGTACTGGAGGCTAGAAAATCTGAAATTAGCCATAATCGTCCCGGTATATAAAAAAGGAGACCCTAATGACTTGGTAAACTATAGACCAATAAGCCTACTTTCTTGCTTTGCAAAGCTTTTCGAACTGGTGATGAATTCACGAATTATGTATCACATGCTCTGTAATAACTTAATTGCTGAATCACAACATGGCTTCATAAAAGGGAAACCGTTAAATACGGCTATATACTCCTTTAGCCACAGTATTGTAGAATGTCTAGAAAATAATATGATATCACTGGGTTTGTTTTTTGATCTCTCCAAAGCATATGATTGTGTAGAACATTCTCTCTTACTGAGTAAACTTGAGGCATTTGGGATAAGGGGAAGTGCCTGGAACTGGGTCAAGTCTTATTTAACAGACCGCCGACAAAGTGTTTCCATCATAAAGAATGGCATGGCAGCTGTCTCATCGCAGTTAACAGTAAATAGAGGTAACCCACAAGGAAGCGTTTTGGGTCCTCTCCTCTTTTTGATGTTTGTAAATGATCTAAGTGATAGTATAGCAAACCCAAATAATGTATGTACTATTCAGTATGCAGATGATACTAGTGTGATTATAGCTGGCCAAGATTTCAACCAAGTAGCCGAAAATACATTGAGCATATGCGAGAAAGCATTTTAGTGGTTTGCTTGCAACAGTCTATCCTTGAACACATCAAAAACAAATGCGATAGTATTCAAATTACAGAAAAAAATCGAAGCTACGAAGATCCACTTAGCTGATAGGGTAGAAGTCAGGCTGACAGAATCTGGTAGATTCTTGGGAGTGTATATTGACCAAGGACTTTCCTGGGCTACACATGTAGAATATCTAGAAAAACGGTTAAACAACACTTGTTATAGTATTAGGATATTAAGCAAGTACCTAGACCTTAAGACCCTAAAAATTGTTTACCATGCCAACTTTGAGTCCATTGCACCTTTTAGTATAATTTTTTACGGACACAGTAGCCAGATAAACAGGCTCTTTCGGGTACAGAAATGAGCATTGAGATGCATGTTAAAAATTCCGTGTAGAGAAACATGTAGAGGAAAATTTAAAGGGAATAAAATACCATAGTGGCAATATATATTCAGGAAATATTGATTTTTACATTTAAAAATATTGGGTACTTTATAAGAATCCCAGGCAATTACAATACAAGGAACAGAGATATAACTCTTGTGTACCCAATTCATCATCTAACTATTACCGAAAAAAACGTACATTACAGTGGTGCAAAGCTTTACAATAAGTTGCCCCAGGAAGTTAAAAAGTTGTCGAATATAAAAGAGTTCAAGAAATGTATTCACAGGTTACTAATGAGTCTAGAGCCATATGGGCTCGATGAATATCTAGAAATGAGAAACAAACATTGAGTAATATTGTAATATTTAGACACTATTTTGTTTCTTGCATTTGTTTGCTATTATGGCATTATGTGATGTATATTTCACCTGACAGAGGACATTACGTTGTAATTGTGCACTGTTATTTTGAAATAAAGATTATTTATCATTATTATTACTATTAGTGTAACTCTCTCCAGTGGCTAGAAATCGCAATGTTACCTCAGTGCTGATGGGGTTTCGTAAATGTGTCATCTTCATCCATTCTCAAAAAGTTAACATAACTTCTCTGATCTTCCACTGCCAGTTCTTGGACCAAGTTATTGTAGATCCCCTTCAACTCACAGCAGGCAATCCATGGGTTTACCCACAGTCGCTTCTTCTTCATTGTTAAAGCCACTACAATAGCTGCCAAAGTAAAACTAGCTATAGCAGCAACCTGAACGTCGTCGTCCATAACTGTATTTGCACTACCTTCTTAAAATAATTTATAAAATCTTTTACGTAGTGTAATAGGATGTTTGGCAACCATAACATTTCTTTTATGTACGAGCCCCTTCCCACTTCAGTTGGCCCAACTATTGAAATCTTAGTTTTATCAAACACAAATAATAAAAATGTAGCAGGATGTTATAGGTTTAAAATATTAACAATGAATATTTTGATAATATATAGTAGAAAACACCAACTTGGTGATGTTACCCAATGGTAATCTTTCAATTGTTGCTTTGTTAACTTCACGCATTTATTCGCACATTGTTTATTTGTTCAGATGTTCTATTAGTTATTGGTCTAAGTGATTTCAAATATGTATTTTTTACGACTAGAGTATATCTAAGATGTTTTTGAGAAAATAAATTGTTTTAGAAGTAAATCGTTTCGTCATGTTTAGTTTATAAAGGCATATTTTGGTACAAATCTTGAAGTGGGCCAACTGAAGTGGGAAGGGGCTCGTATAACTTTTGTAAAAGTTATTTATGAAAGATCTTTGTCAAAGAACTTTTATAGCGTAATGCCGGCCTAAGGCCGGTATTAGACTGTAAAAGATCTTTGACAAAGAAGTTTTATAAAACAAGTTTTATGAAATATTTTACGGTGTAATATACCATCTTTTAACAAAATATTTCTTTTATAAAATATCTTTTATAAAAATTGACGACAGTGAGTAAATTTTATAAAATATTTAGCAAAGATGGCGGAAGGCAAGTTTGTCTGGTCAATTACTGCTACAAAATTATTAATTTCTGAATATGAGGCATTTGAATTGTTATACGACAGTAAAAATATTAATTATAAAAACAGAAATAAAAGATTAGATGCCTATAGATCAATAGCTGAAACTGTAAACACTGTCAGTGAGGGTTGCACTGTAGAAGATGTTAAAAAGAAATTAAATGGTTTAAGAAGTCAATATTTGGCCGAAAAAATGAAGGTAAGTCATTATAAATATCTCTATTTATTCTTTTTTGTTTACATCAAACAAATACTTATGGAAATACAACTAATTATTGTACATAATATTTTTTGCAGGTCCTGCGTAGCAAAAAAAGCGGAGCGAGAAGTGACGACCTGTACAAACCAACAGTATACTGGTTTCCTCTGCTAACATTTTTAGATAAATCTACAGATCCAGACCAATCCCAGTCTAATTTAGATGAATCGCTACTATCGCCTAATGAGTCTCAATCCACTAGTTCCACTACGAATATTATTGCACCTCCAGATGATGTAAGTTAATACAGAATAGTAAAATTAAGCATATTCTTCTTGCCATGGTACTTTTCCAGCACCATTATAAAATATTTTAAAATTTTCCCTTATTTCGCGACCATGGCGATTCCCTACAGTACGAGTTTGAGTGGTTAGAGTTTGCAATTCTTGAAGTTCTTCGTGACTTAAAACGTCTAAAAATGTGTGTCCTTTCCTACTTCTAGAAATAATCTCATGGCAAGTATTCAGATGTTTTCTTCGGTCAATCAACAAATTATGTATGGTACAGGCTGCAAGTACAATCTTTGTGACTTTTTCAGGGCATAAATTGATTGTAGTTAAAAATACCCTGAACCGGCTTGCCAATATTCCAAAACTACTTTCAACAATTCTTCTTCCGCGAGACAATCGGTAGTTATAAATCTTTTCTTCTCTGGTTATATTTTTTAATGGGTAAGGTTTCATAACATTGTAACTTAGTGGAAAGGCGTCGTCTGCCAAGACAACATAAGGTGTAGCAATATTAGCGCCCGGAAGATTTTTTACCAGCAGGTATGTTCAAAATAGATTTATCTGCAAGGCATTTTTTAAGTTTGCTTTTATTATACACGCCACTATCACCAATTCGACCATTTGTCCCCACATCTATGTAGATAAATTTATAGTTGGCATCCGTAAGTGCGAACAAAATAATGCTATGATAAGATTTATAATTAAAATGATGGGATCCTCCTTTATCTGGACAGGTAATGCGTACATGTTTTCCATCCATCGCCCCGATTGTATTGAACACATTCCATTTATCTTCAAAGTCCTTTGCAATATCTAACCATTCTTTCTCGGTTCTGGGTACCTATAAATAAATTTTAAATATAAGGCTTAACTGTTGAATTATAATTAATTTTTTTTCCAGGATCAAGATACGAACAGTAACCTAAGTATAAGGTTAAATGAAGAAAGCTCAGTATTACCTCCAAAAATCAGAAAAATACAAAAATTTTCGCACAATTCTGTATTAACTAAGGCAGCAAATACAATGGAGGAAATGTCAAAAATAGCTAGAGAGAGATCACTTTCTAAAGCAACACAAGATTCTTTAGAGACATTTGGTCAGTTTGTAGTGGCTGAGCTACGTGGTATTCAAGGTGCAAGCAACGAGTATACAGTACGGAAAACTAAAAGAAAAATTCAGATGGTTTTAATGGAGGCCTGGGATATGATTGATCAACCAACTCTGCTACCTAGCCCTGTTTCATCCCAATCATCTTCAAATCAATGGATATTAACAACCCAGACACCAGGTGCTTGTAATATTCTGCAAATTAATCCAGATAATCAAATGCAAGCAGATGGTAATACTTCAGAGGATGTAGTTGAAAATGCAATACATTTCTAGTACTAACAAAATATATTTGTAATAAAAACCATATGTGTACGTTCTTTTATATATCTTTATATTTACCTTCAGAAAATCTCCCTTTAACGCTTGGTAAATAGCTTCACATGTCTCTGGGATTATGCCTGACAGTGTGCATTGTGGTATACTGGCTGCTATATTGTAGACTTCTATAACTCTCCCCTGTTGCTAGAAAACGAAGTGTCACCATAAGACGTTCCTCTACGCTAATACAATTTCTCAAGTGTGTGTTTTGTTTGGAAATTAATGGTGATATCTTCGACGCTATAAATTTGAAGCTATCTTCATCCATTCTTAAATAGTTGATGTAACTTTTTAAATCTTCAAATTGTAGTTCTCGAAGCAAGGTATGATGAATTCCTTGTTGTTCACGTCGAGCAATCCAGGGCCTCACCCAAAGGCGTCGTTTCTTTTTGTTCTTTTTTAACAATAAACACACCGTCATAATTGCACTTATTGCAGCAGCACAAGCAACAAACCGATTCTCATCCATCGTACCTAATGATAAACTAAAAATATTGTAAAAGCTTTTATGTAGTATAATACGGTTATCAAAATTTGTAAACAAAATGTCTTCAAATAAATCCTACTAAAATATTTTATACAATACCTTTGTCAAAGATCTTTTATAGTCTAATACCGGCCTAAGGAAGCTTGTGTAATAAAAGATCTTTTATAAAAGTGTCCTTCTATAAAAGTTGGCCTATTACACTGTCACATTTCTTTTCCAACTTATTTTATCAAATATCTTTGTCAAAGAACTTTTATAGTGTAATGCCGGCCTAACACAGTTACTAAATTTTTTATTAACATATACCTTTAGACCTCCTCCGCTGTGTATCAAAGAAGTACATAAAATATAGAAATAACCAATTACCATACTATGCCAGTTTGTAGTATGGCTGACTGATGAATGATTGTTTGATACTTCTCAAATGCATTTTTCGGGCAAGGGCCGAAATTCTTCAGTAAGCATTTATTGAGGTCTACAATTTCCTATAACAAGACATCGATAGAAAATTAATGTAGTAATTCATTTGTTGAATAAAAAAGATACATATATTTACCCTCAGATGAAGATTTGAAATTTTTTCGACAACCCGTCGGTCTGCTTTAATAGCTCTTATCAGATCTAATACAGTATATATGTTTCTTTTATTCAATTCCTTGACAATATCTTCATTCAAAAGTGAATGCATATCTGGCGTTAAACGATTCATTTCAACCTGAAATATGGCTGTTTTAGAGTGTGATTAATATTTTAGGTTGCAAGTGACAAGTGAAGTTTGCAAAGATACATGTGCTTCAGTGCTGAGCCACTAATCAGTTTCGCACGGGTACTATGTAAAAAACATATAAAACGTCAAAAAAAGATGTCATCTTGCAGACTAGGTCGTTTTTAGGGTACAAACAGTCATTTTACGTTTGCTCACTAGGATCGTTGTGAGCGTCCATCTATGGAAGAATGGCATATGTTTTGTGTGGCCGGGGGTCTATAGTTTTCATCTCCGAGTCTCTGAAAAGAAAGTTGGTTATTTGGTTGAATAGCAAGATCGCATCTGGATGATTGTGTGTATTGGTCTAAGTGTGTATAAAATCAGTGATATTTGCTGTGTGAAAAAATCATTACTAAATATGCTGCCAATGAAGTATATCTATTAGCTGTGCCCGACGGGCATGTTGTCCTTTCGGAAGACAGGTTATGTTCAAAGTTATCAATGACGATTTTTCACGTTTTTTGTTGTTTTCAAAAACTTTGAAGAGAATTACGGGAAATCATCGTCGGGCATTGTGTGTAATTACTGACAGCATGTATATGACTTGTAATTCTACTGTGTAGAGTGAATATAATTATTTCTTATCTCTCTCATTTTTGAAATCCAGCAAATTTGCATATGTAATTTCCAGAATGGATAAGAAAAAGTAGATGAGCAACTAATTTCTAACTTTGAATCTCAAGTAAATGTATTTGAGACAAAAATCCAATGAAATTATCTTAAAGACATACAACTTACAGCTTAGACCTCCAGTAATGCCATCTCTGAAGCAGATTTTACACCACATCAGAGCCAAACATAGATAACTGAAACCTCATGACCTTTAGGCAAGACTTACAACTAAGTGCTAAGTTAAAATATTGTAGAAAACCTATATTATGTCACAAAAAACAATACAAAGTCAAACAAACCGGCATAATGTCACTTTTCAAGATACGTAATACCCATGCTGAAATCACATCACACTATTTAGTTAGTTTCTATTTCCTCAGACTTCGTTTTTTACGCATTACTGCCTTTTACCGTTCATCAGAAAATCTTTATTTGGAACTCTACGTCGATGATTCGTCTGATGCATATAAATGTCGAATCGAATCTAAAATCAATGTACCTACTCGTCTTTGAGTCGCTATTGCGGCACTGTTCGATCTCAAATATTGCGATGCAATGAAGGAATGCAAAAAAGTTATTCTTTATCCTAAAATGAGGATATTAATTTTAAACAACAGGGGGTGTGTGGAATGATTCCAAATTCTGACATTTGTCAAATAGGTTTGTGAATGCATTAATTTTCAAACAAACTGATATGATGATGATAATAATAAAATATCTTCCTATAATCTTCATATCTTTGACAGTTTCATCCCGATTTAACGGTTAACTTATTTAGAGATGAGACAGAGACGACGGTAGTCTTCCATATTTTTTATTCCGAGAATAACTCGGGCAGCGACTCTTCTATCAGTGGCAGGAATGCAGTTCCCTGAAAGGTAGTAGACCAACGCCAATTGTCTCTCAGTTATTTTATTTCCTACCTCAAGAATCAACCCACACCCACAGGAATACTAACCTGACTCAAAGCATCTATTCTGACTGGGCTATTATTCATGTCCCACTGTCAATCAACCTCGTCATGGAAACAAAATCACAGTTTTCCACATTTCTCTTAGAAACGTCAAACATAAGAAAACGCCAACTTTTTAGTTTTTAGGGACGGTTTTTCCAAAAACAATAGTTTCGACAAATTTTAACACTTTGCAACCCAAAATTGAAAAAAGGACGGTTCAGATCTCATCTCATATGTGCAGTTGGCTTATTTTTACTGTCAGCGCATGCGCTGTTGCTTCGTAATCGTTCGAGCAGCTTGGGCGTTTTGTGGATGCCCCCTGTTTTGTCTTTGCGAAAGAATAGCCGTCGCCATGTTGTAGGCAGATTGTGTCCTTGCTGTGAGCGCGTAAAATGTTGAAAATATCAGATATAGTTAAGATTTCGCAAATAACGTGAGGTACCTATTTGTAGATCGAGGTACAAGGAATACAATAGTGCTGTTTTTAACGACGGATGACCGTTTCCCACTGGAATAATTTGTGATTACATGATGGTAAGTTTCAGGCCAGCGGAAAACGTAATGGCGGCTCCAAATATTCCTTTGTTGATTTCATATTTTTTATTTATTTTTCCTTGTAACTAAATATAATTTATAAGTTTCATTTTGATGCCCTGGCATAAGATAAACAGATTGCTCAATAAAATATTTTGTATTACAATTTTAATCGTTTTTATAACGTGATGGCGCGTCGCCCAAATTCGAGGAGCTCGCAGTCGATAGAAAGTTTTACGTCACTGCTAATATTGATTGAATGTTGAATGCTTGGAAAATGTTTAACAAAAATAAATTCACCCAACTTTAAGCTGTTTCACTAATTTGTATCTAACGCCTATTGATGTACACTATTAATTTAATTATTCATTTTTCCCCGCCAAATTTAGTCCACTTTTTCGGATATTACGTCATTAAAAATTCAGTTGCATTCTGAAAGTCAAAAATCCAAATGGATTTATACTTTCTTTAATCTGCATGTTTTTATATGACTCATAAGATCGAAACTGATAAAAGCGCAAATGTAATGCGATATTTAAATTGTGCAATGTTATCTTAAAGGCCTATGATCAATCAGCTATACTTTATTTACTTGAGCCGGTATCTCAAAGTTCTGGAATTGGGTTTTGGGAAATTATATCCCACCTTTCCTGTATTTATAAGCGATCTCTGGAGATTTGCTCGTGGTAAGAATACGCTTTGGAGCATATAGACCGTTTTTTTTTTCGGAAAAAATCAAATAAACCAGTAGAAACGATAATTTATTAAGGAAAATAGATGTGAAAACTATAAAGTTTCAAACTGGCCGTGTTGTCAGGTAAACTGAAAGGTATTGTGTTGTCATTTTTCAATGACTTCTTGAAACTCCTTAACCATATTTTTCGTGTATTTTCGGTGAGATCCAAAGTTTTTGCGTTTATAATAAATGTAGAAACGATTTTCAAGGGTCATTTTATATCCTTCATTTCTTGACATACGAGCCCCTTCCCACTTCAGTTGGCCCACTTCAAGATTTGTACGAAAATATAAATATTTGGGTTTATAATAAATGTTTGAAAGTAGAAACGATTTTCAAGGGTAATTTTATATCCTTCATTTCTTGACATATGAGCCCCTTCCCACTTCAAGATTTGTACCAAAATATGCCTTTATAAACTAAACATGACGAAACTATTTCTAAAACAATTTATTTTCTCAAAGACATTTTAGATACTCTAGTCGTAAAAAATACATATTTGAAATCACTTAGACCTATAACTAATAGAACATCTGAACAAATAAACAATGTGCGAATAAATGTTAACAAAGCAACAATTGAAAGATTACCATTGGGTAACATTACCTTTATTTTTTATTACGGCTGAAATTCTTTGGGGCATAGTGTTAACCAAGTTTTGGCAAAAATTTGGTGTAAAACAATCCCATATTTCTTGAAGCTTTTGTCTCAGTTTGGTGATTGTACAAGCAGGACGTTGTCGTAGAACCTTTTTCATCTCATGCCACAAAAGTGGTACATTATTTTCTTCCATCCATTTTATATCCTTTTTTGAGGTATGGCACGCTGCACCTTCTTGCTGAAACACAAAATCTTAGCCGGATGTCAAACATTCTTCCATCACTGGTAAAAGCGATTCTTCTAAAATTGCCAAATATTTGTTTGTATCCACATTCCCATCAATAAAATGAAGTTTTCCTACTCCTTTTGATGACATACTGCCCCAGACCATAATGGATGCTGGAAATTTCACTTTTCTCTTCAGTCACCATGGAATGCTTCATTTTTTTTGCGAATAACTCTACTGCGACTGTCACCAACACAAACTTCAAATCGGGCCTCATCACTCCATTGTATTACACACCATGGTTGAGGTGTCCATTGTCTATGTTCTTTAGCCCATCTAAGGCGATTTTTCTTTTGCAGTAGAGTCAGTAGTGGCTTATCTTTGGCCTATAAACAAGTTGTGCAACTTTAGGGTTTTTACTTCACCTTTTTTTTTTATAAGAAAACTTACCTTGCAAGTGCTAAATCCCAGTTTGTGGGCCTCTCTATGTGTTGTGGACCTCGAAATTCTCCTTCCAACAGCGTCACGCCACAGAGCACTTAATTGTCAATAATTGGCACTCCTGTTTTTCACGATTATTCTTCTTAATGCTCTTCAGTTGGCATTTGTGATATTACTTTTTTTTACATATCGTGGCTTAATATTAACTGAACTAGTTACATTATATCTTCTAACAATATTTCTCACACTGTACCATGATAAGTCTAACAAAGTTGCAATTTCTGAGTTTGATTTCCCAGAATTAAAAAATTCCCATGTTGATTATGTATCGAGAAAATTAATCCTTAAATTTGATCTACTGCAGAGTTCCTCGAGATAAAAAAAAATTAATAGTTTATAAAGCATTTGTTGAATCTATAATTAGATATGGTATATTAGTATGGGGGGGATTGTATAATAATCCTCTACATAAACGCATTATTATTCAGAAATATATTATTAAAATTATTTTTATGAAAGATAAAAGATTCCCCACTAATAAACTTTTTACAAAGGATGTATGTAATATTAGAGCCTTGTATGTGATGACAATGTGTACTTTTATTTATAGAAATGAAAAATTACAGAAACAAGTAAGTCATAACTATGGTACTTGTGCAAATGTGGTCAGGCAAATCGAAATTCTCAAGAATAATAATAATAAACTTAAGATACATAACGTGTATAGGACCAAATATATATAACATTCTGCCAGAACACTAAAAAAAGATGAAAAATATCAAAACATTTAGCACCAGCTGCGGAGAATATATTTTTGAGAATGCTGAGCAATGTGAAAGGTTGATGATGTTTTTGTATCATAGTATGATTGATTGATTGTTTGGGATTTGGGGTTGATTATTGTTTTTTAAAATCCAGTAAATGGTATTTTCTTTTCATTTGTAAGCCCGATGATGAAAGCACATGCAGATAGTTTGAATCATCTAGGTGCATCTTTCTGTCATCGGGATGTCATTGGTGAAGAGGAATTATATTGTTGTTTTATTATTAATTGGTCAATATTTGTTTCATTTTGGTAAATATTAATAATAATAAACAATAAAAAAAAGATATCTAGATCCAGGACTGGGCATATCATTGGATTATGGGGATAAGCAGCTAGGTATTTGTCTCTGACACCTCCACCGTCCTGACATTTTCTCTTTCCGATTTTTTCATCATTCCTAGTACCCAGTGGCCTTTGACGTTGCGACCTTAGTTATATCGCGCTAACCAAACTTCGATTCGTCGATTTGTACCAAATCGCCAGGTTCACCCAACATATGATCAACAACCATTTCATCAAATCATCAAAAAACTAATTCAATATAACACATTTCTTATACTGAAATCTCTTTTTCTGACTATGATTATTCATCTTTGTTATGTTTTCATTCTTTAGTAACTAGCAATTGCTACTTTTTCAGTAAATTATATACTCTATACATTACATTTAATTAGGTATTTTTTGTAACATCGGCTTCACACTAAATAATTCTTCAAGTAGATACACAAATCAAATTCTAATTCCCGGCCACATTTTTATAAATAAATTATATACTCTATACATTACATTTAATTAGGTATTTTTTGTAACATCGGCTTCACACTAAATAATTCTTCAAGTATAGACATACAAAAAAATAAATGACTTATACTGTATTATAGAAGAAGGTATTTTTATGAAGAGGAAAAGTGCATTTAGCTAAAGCAGGA